TTTAACTGGTTTAAGAAATGCTTCATTTTTCTGGTCATAGTGGTCGTGTTCTCAGAAAATTCTACTCAAAAATCACATACATGTTGGGAGGTGACAAACTCACATCATTCTTTCCCACTTTATGCCACATTTAGCTGGATTTTGCTTTTTTTCTGAGCAGTCCCTGTTCTCATCTTGCGCTTTCTACTGTGATAAAACTCACATAACTAAGAAGGAAATTTCTTTCTCTCCTCTCCTAAAAATTTTACTATGGTCTGTAATGAATTACAACTTTTAGTGCATTAAAGTGAACATTGAGAAAATGTCAGTGAGAGACACTGTTAAAAGGAGGGAAAAATATCTTCTTGAAACTAAAATATAGGTATGATCAATTGTGCATCTCCTCTTTTTAAGCTGCAACCCGTTAGTGTTACATTTAATTATGGTCTGATAACAGAAGATAAGGTTATCTGTCAGAGCCTTGCAATTAAATCTCCGTTAGGTATTTTTTCACCTTCAGTCATTGCCTGAAAAAAAGGCTGAATGTAAAGAAGTCACATAAAGTAAATTTCAGAAGGTTATTTTTCAATATAATCTCATCCAGGCCCACTGTGCCAAGTAACAGCAAAGTGGAGATGTGGAGGAAAATTAAAATCGACTTGGCTCTGACTTTTCAGTGAGAGAGCCATTAATAACAAGAAGTGACTCTGTTAAAATGATACAAGATTGTAACAAGCAATCACCTAAAAGACCATTTGGTTTGGTCCCTGCTGAACTGGACAAGAAGGACGTGGAAAGTCACTGGAGACAAACATTTGGCCAGAAAAGGTGGATGAGTCCTCAGTGGAGAACTCCTTTCCTGCAGCCTCAGATCCATGATGCAGTGGCTCTGATGATGTCAGTAACGTGCTGAGGCAGTGACACAAATAAGCCTACATAGGTTAAATAATTCTCAAATTAATCATAAAACACCTCAGGATCAGGGCAGTTTAACAAGGAGAAGAGCTGCAGGTAAACACAGTGCTCATGAAATACACCTGTAAAACTGGAGATCCTTTTTCCCAGCAGACTGGCACTGCCAGTGTCCCATCCCACTCCTCCCATCATGGGAACTGCTCTCCTTCTCTCAGAGAGCATGAGGACCTCCACCAAGTAAACAGCACAAAGTGTTTTCTCCTAGATCATGATGCAACCCAGCAGGATTGCTAAATCGTGACAGACACCATCATCAAAAACATCCCAACTTCTTGGAATACAAATCTGAGTGGCAACAGCAGCCACCCTGCCCTACAATGCCACTGTAAGATATGGACAGAATAAAAATAACTTCTTTTGATCCTCCCTGGATTAGAAGTACAGCACTGAGCCTGTATTGCAGCAGGTCCAGTACAATACATTTTGATTTCAGGATTACACAGGATCACTGGGAAACTCCCTGGATCCTGCTATAACAACCCAAATAATTAATTTGAAAACCCTCTAATATATAGGCAAACCTTAAGACCTTAATTATATATTAAAAAACAAGGGAAGCAGCATCCTTTAAAAGAAACAAGGAATAGTTCACCTTATTCAATGTGAATAGAATATATACATTACAGATGTTTGCCAACTACAGCATAACACTAGAATTCTTCAGTGAAAGCTGAGGAGCTTGAATAAATAAAGAAAGTCAAAGGAAACAGTGGAAAACTGACAAACCTGATTCAAGCTGCTTCAAGAAGAAATGATACTAAATATAAGCCCACGAACACACCCATCTTGCTTCTCAGCGAAGACTTTAAGGAAGCAAAATTTCAAGTGTTTTACTATGTTAAAAGGTTGGGTGTTTCGAATCAACACAAAGAACACATCAACGCCTAGGACTGACACAGAGAGGGCACCCGCTGCAGACAAAGGCTACCTAGCAGATGGGAGCAGAGAATAAACAATTAACCAGGAGAGCAGCAACCCAAGCCCGCGGCCGAGCCGGGGGTCGCGGGTCAGGGCCAGCCGGGGACAGGAGGGGAGAAGAATCCACGGAGCACAGCCAGGGGGCGAGGGC